AGGGATGAAAAGGGCTGTGTTTTTGCTGTGTTTTCTCCCCATTTCTAGAGAAGGAAATTCCGGGAGGGAGACTACATGTACTCGTGTACAACGCATAATTATTCAAGCTTACGGTTGTCCACCAAGCCCTTTGAGATAAGAAAACGCTGCTATCGCGTTTAAACAAGATGGATTGTAGAAGGTGTTTTGAGCATTCGAAACCGAACTGTAGAGACAATGAACAGGGGAGACATCAGGTCTTATATTGCAAAGGGCAACACATTAGTAATATTATGCACATGTACCAGTAGCCCCACAGGGAGGAGACCGGTAGGATGGGAGAGTTGGCGGGGTTGGGATTCACCGACAAGGGTTTAGTGGGGGAGAAGGCTATTTTGCTGACAGTAATGTGGTGTGCCGTAAGAACTCGAATAATTGAACCTCACGCTAGGACGTTCAGAATTCCCTCTCTTGGATAGGGGGCCGAGAGCACAGCGAAAACCGACTCCCCGAGCCCCTGCTTAAGAGAGAAAGAAAAAGTAAAAAACACCGCACCGTACCAGCAGAGGCAACACCGACGTTCTAGCTCCAGGTTCAATTATTCGAGTGCTTACGGTATAACCAACTACACCACGCAACAGCCCTACCGCACAAACAACAGGTGGTGAGATAATGGCCTTTTGTAGGTATGTCCTCTGTCGGTTGAGTTCCATAGTTTGTCCCGCTTAGAGCTGGTCTGTTTTCAGGCACGCCGGTAGATTCGCTGATGATTGCGTGGCAACACACAAACATTGTGCGCCATTGATGCGACGAATTCACTAATTTCAGACATTGGTATAGGCACAATTTAAGGAAGCAAAAAAAGGCCCAAGGAAAGAACATCACCGAACCAGAACAAACTCTTCCTCTCTCATCTTCAAATTTTGCAGAGTTAGCATCACTCCATATACTGGACCATTGTTAACTATCGTACCAGTTTTCCTGACATGTATTTCAAACGTGTAAACCATGCTGAATGCGAGGTAAATCAGCTACCATTCTTTATTATGATATTTTTGCTAAGAGAATTGTTTAGGTCAGCCACGATAATATTTCTTACCACTAAGGGTATAGAAAACCATCCTGGGCAAAAAAGCACTTGAAGTAGGCTCAACCAGAAAAGGTAGGCATTTGAGTGATGCCGTAGGGATGCTGTATTGTACTAATAGAATTTTAGCCAGATACCAAGATGTCAGCAGATGTTAATCAATTAAAGGCTAGTGCCACTGTGGTTAATTACCAGCTTGATAACATTAGATCTAGAGTTCGTTACGGGGCCTCCGGGGCCCCGAAAACCGCGGGTCCCTGCCCCCATTCCCCGCCCCGCCCCGGCATTTGGCCCGGGGCGGGGCGTATTTTCTCCTCCCTTCCCTCCCCTACCCGATACGGCCCCCAGCCCTAGCCACCCCCTATACGGGGCCCCGCTATTGCCCCCACCAAATTATATGGCTGGAAGCATAATTGGGGTCCCCCGGGAGCCCCCATGTGGGGGGCGGGGCGGGGAGGGGAGAGTTTGGCGGCGCCCCACGGCCGCAACGGGGTGGGGAGAACTTGTGGAAACCCGCCCCGCCCCGCCCCGTAACGAACACTAATCAGATCCTCTCTCCATGATATCAAGGTGTAAATGAAGACACAGGTATCCACCCTTCAACAAGTAATCAAGACACAGGTATCCACCCTTCAACAAGAACTGAAGACCATAGGAACCCGCTTGGAGAAAAAGTAGTGTTCCCCACGAGCCGAGAGGCTCCCAGGCTCGCCTCACGCTTTTGGCACAAGCTTCCCAAGCCGACATATGTCCAGAGCCGAGCCGACTCCAGCTTATCGAAACTTTGGCTTGAGCTGTACTTGAGATAAGCTTAAGCTTACTCAAACAATTCATTTTTCATTTCAAATCGGCACGGGAAAGAGAGGAAGGGACTAGCATCTCTAATATTACCTTGTAGACGTCGTGGAGGTCCTAGTAGGCCAGGGAGAAAGACGTTTGATGGTTTTAGGTTTTCCAATACCCCGGAATCTGTTTACACACATTTTTCTTAGCCTAACTCAAAGTGCGGAGCCAAGTATGGATCCCACTCTACCCCTGAATCTGCCTGGACTCATAAGAGGCTGATGTTCGGGTATGGTAGAAGGCAATGAGAACTCCTAAGTAGAGCAAGTCAATTATATTTTCTATAAACATACAGTCCTCAATTGATTTACACAAACTACTAGTAGGGGGTGGGCTAAGCGGAAAACCGATATGTTCGTAGTAGAATTTGGAGTTTCTTTCTACCAACTTAATATTTGGAACATATCCTCTACTTAGGTACACTATATGGTTCTTCCTGTAGGTCATTTTAACTAGTGATACTAAGTGACCACTAACAAAACCAGGCTCGAGCCTTAGTTCCCGAGCCTGCTTGGGGAGGCTCGAGCCCTGCCTTAAATCTCGAGCTGCTCGAGTCTATTTCCTATCAAGCCGAGCCGGCTCGAGCAGGCTCATGGTGAACACTAAGAAAAAGCCCGATGGTCTATCAGACAAGATCGACATGAAGATACAGAATCTTGCAGACAAGATTGACCAGAAGAGCGACAAGACCAACTCTGAAATCGACAAAGTGATTTATGTTTTCCTGGTCGGGCTGTTTCTCAAAGGAGGTTTTGACAGTTATATTAGACATGATGGCTCAGGTGGAAATCACACTCAACAAACCGAGTCGAATATGATCTCTCCCAAGGTTGGATCCATCTAGCCACTATGCAAGTGGTTTGAAGTCCCGGATACCTTCCAGGGCTACCGCTACTATAGGAGCTATTATTACAGTGGTTTTGGTCATTGAAGGGTGATGGCTTTCACCTTTTTTTTAATTTAATTTTTATTCTTTCTGGGTTCGTAGGACTGGTTGTCAAGGCGTGAGGGCTTTTATTTTTTATTTTTTTTTCATTGTTTCCACAATAATGAATAGCATTAGGGAAAAGGGGGCTGTTCATAAGGGTCTGTCGTGTGAAGGTTTTATTGTCACTGTCACAGCTTAAAAATAATAAATTTTGTAATATGACGCTTATGGTGGGGTTGTGTCAACAACTTTATTCACCTCTCTTTCCTTTTGAATTAGCTACAAACTCGTTTCTACCGTCTTCTGCCATTTAATAGTACGACAGGCCGAATGGGTGGAAATGGTGATCTGCTGTTTGAGGGAAAGAGTCATGGTGAGAATTTAGGATCTATCTTGAATAATGCGGTTCACATTGCAACTCTTGCTCCGTTACCTCCACTGGCTTCCTGCAGGTGGGAGGCAGGGGAAGGATGAAATGGAATTAGTACACAAGCAATAATTTACCTTCTTATATCTTCGTTCCTTCTCATTTGATGAAAATCAGTAGTTTATTGAAACGTGTGGCTGGAAGGAGGATGGACATACATTTTCTAGAGTAGAAACTTATCTGTTTGCAAAAGCTAATCCCCTATCCCCTCCACCAGAAATCTTACAACGTGCCGATAGCTTAGCCGAGAGTTAGTAGAGATAGCCATTCGAGGATGTGGCACCCCTGTCTGCTACAGGAGTGTGAGAATTGTTCTAGGTGATATAACTGTTGCTCCTACCATAGAAGCCAGTGAACCCAAGCGTCCAGTCCGTCCATCTTCAGCTCTGGACGGGACGGACGGCATGACCGGAGAGGATGCCCGGGACGGACGGCCATCTCGGCGTCCATCCCGACCATTGCCCGGGATGGACGGGCGGGCCCTATGGGTGTCTCAAGTTATGGAATTTGCCGGGGACCTCCATATGATAGGCAGACCCTACCAGAGATAGGGGCCAGGAGATCCGATGGGGCAGAGCTTAATGCCTCACTTGGGGCAGTCATCGTTGTCCATACTCATATCATATCGGTAGCTTGCATCGTCCGTAAAACAGGTAGGTATAATTTGTGAAATAGAGTCATCTGGCCTTAACGAGCTTTGACTTCCAGCTTAGGAATGAGAGTGTGCTTCTGACATTGTGGTTGATAAAATTGATCACAATAGAGTAGACTATATTAATTTAATAGTTTTAGTATTTAATAACCACCAGACATGAGAAGGGAGAGCCTTAGGATAGGAAAATACATACTACGTATGGTGTAAGACTTGAAGCTTTTGTTGAAAAACGTAGATAATTTACAACCCAAGTCTGCGGGTATGACTGACAATATATATAGTTGAACAAGGAATACGAATAATTACTACCATCATACGTGTTCTATCCTACTATGAATATAAACTATGATAAACATATGATCTCCGAGTCTATGTATGAGGACAATTTGCATATAAAAAAAAGAGTTTTCACAAGATTCATTGCATGCATCCTGGTTTATTGGTATATGAGCATATGATGCATTAGGGGCAGCAAAAACAGACAGGTGGTAGGTGAGCCAGAAAGGTAATTGGACAAAACTTCAGAGACGGGCGGGCCCTGCAGGTGACGGGCGGGCCCTGGAGGTAATGAGCGGGCTGTGGGTAATACGGGCCGGAGTTACCCATTGGTAAAGGACTGCCAGGACCTGGCGTCACCCTCTTAGATGATAGTCTTTTCCAAAGGACGGACGCCGATGCCCTACAGCTTGAGACACCTACCCGGGACACCCGGGACTGGAGTCTCGCAGGTGCCTACTGGGCGGACGGGACGCCTGGGAACACTGATAGAAGCTGATGTGTTCTGAGGTATGTGGCTGTTGAGATGTGAAGAGGTTTATACTGCTTACTCTTGCGGCAATAGGGGCGGGAGTAGTGGGAGTGGGTGGCGATGGGATCGAATCATCTTTGGTTAGGGGAGGTGGTGGTTTTATGATAGCATGCAGAAGAATCGGCACCACCTAATAATTTCCTCTCCATGGAAGGCTTGGCCAGGACCAGGGCGATGTGTCAGCTCTAGGTAAACTCGCGTGGGGGGGCATGCTGGGAATACAGCTACACATGAGAAGTATGCTTCAGTACTCATGATTCCACGGGGAGACTTGTCTGCATGAATTGTAGTCACATCAGTAATGATTCTTGTATTGTTTGCAAAGTTTCTTTTGGAGAGACTAGCAATGGGGCTGCAAGAGTTCGGGGGAGGTGTGTTGCCGAAGGCCAGACTCATGCTGGCGTGGGTGAGGGAAGACTTAGGAGTGGTAATAGTCCTGAGATTCAGGAACAAAGAATTCGGGATTGTAGGCTTGTCCTATTTTTTATTCTACTAGCACCCTATGTTGCTCTTAATATAGTTTTTTCCTTCTGGGCTGACGTGAGCTTCTAGGGCGTTGAAAAATTGTTCAACTTGCCTGTGCTGTCAATTGCCTTGAACCTTTTACAGATTATACCCAACAATGGCTCACTTTATCCATTACACACAACTTCAACAGAGGTTGCAAAACACAATTCATTGTCACCTGTTGTCTATACATTGTCTGTCATCACGAAAAGAGTTTCCACATGCTCATGGACTTCACAAGCATACTGAATACGAGTTTTCAGCCCGAATTTGATGGGCTTCTTTCTGCAAACAGGGCTCCAGGTGAATCTCTTCTCACTCGGCCCCACCTACCTTCAACTCACTCAAATCCTCAAAGTCCGGTTACCACATAGATTCTACAGTCTACATCAGCTGCCTTGCAAAGCACCTCTACTTCACCAGTGAACTGACTAAGATGGCTAATGACGTCCTTTGTATCATTCAGCGTATCATACAATGCTGTAGATGGAAGGGACAGATGACTCAGCAGAAGTTGAGAAGTTGGAGGGTCCTCATGCTGGTCAGCCCCCATAAATATTCGGCAACTTGAGTTTAGTGGGGGAGAGGACTATTTTTCCGAGTGCAACGTGGTGTAGAACCAACTACACCACGAAACCAGCCTGCAAATAATTGTCTCTTCACGCAATTGAACCGGAAGAATTTGAAGATCCCTACTGAGAATTATTACCATTACATGTACCTAGTATTTAAATGGAGGGGGTTGCACAGATGTCTCTCTGGCGTAAGTACGCCCCCAATTTCATCCTCGGTTGATTACTAGTTGACAGATCAATTTCCTTTAAACATTGCAAGAACCCATTCAGGACCTGTAGCTACAGTGGCCTGTGTAATTGTCTCTTCTGCATTCATGTTTGTTGTGAGCTGCACCATGCGAAACGAGGTTGGACAGCTCCATCAAGAGGTTACGTGGATAAGGGGGGATATCATCAACCTCAAGAATACTATCGATTGTGTTGAGGAGGACCTTGTATGGAAATTGAGGAATACCTGTTCTGACCTTATGGCTGAGATAACGAGAGCATAATGTGCGGCCGCCAATCCTCGCTCCCACACCCGCATGCACTTCATGAGGCCTTACAGCACTCCTCCTGACTATGAGGACCTTAAAATCTCAGGTAAGGAGATAGGCTGCGTGATCTGTACTCATTACGGGAGCTAATTTAGTTTGCAAGCAGGTTTAATGATAGGTGGATAAAAAAAAAAAAAAAAAGAAAGTCTCTAGAACCGTGCTTTTATATTTTATTAAGCCATTAATAGAATGAATTATGGGCTTTGATATTAAGTCTTTTGCCCAACGTGTGTGAGGATGGCAAATGCAAATGCAAATGCAGGGGATACCTGGCCAGCAACGTGTACAATTGTCTCCCCCACACCATCCACAACCGTCACCACATAGTGCTCCTCAGATGGCACAGCAACATGTCCAGAGCGTCGGACCAGGCGGCCCGATGCCGGCGAACTATGCCCTTCTCCAACAGCAACAACGGCACGCGATGATGCAAGCGCAGGCGCAAGTGCAGGGTCGACAAATGCAAGTTCAGGTGGGAGGGGTTCCGTCTACGATGAGCATAAATTCCGGCGTCTGCGTCGGTATGAGTAATGGCATTCCCGTGACCTCAATAGCTCAACAATCGGAGATGCCACAGCAGGCTATGATGGGGAATATGGGTATGGGTGTGGGTGTGCCCCCAGGCGTGGTTCCGGGGGTGGGGGTGCCGTTGAGTATGAGGGCGCCAATTGGCGGTGGGCCGATGGCAAGACAGGTGGGCGGTCCCGTGGGCGGTCGGGTGGGGCGGATGGCACATATGGGTGGCCAAATGGGAGGACAGATAGGAGGACAGATGGGGGGGGGGGCAGATGGGAGGCCAGATGGGAGGACAGATGGGGGGTCAAGCTTTTGGATTCGGTGGATGTGCTGATTCTGTGGGCGGCGGGTTTCGTAATAGTGGATATTCTAGGGAGGAAAGGGAGGGTGATTGAGGAGATGGTAGAGATGGTGCCGATCGTACCATCGACATCAAGGTTTGATCTGCGTATTTCGGCGTGGTTGAAGGAGGAGGTGATTGTTCTGAAAAAGGTAGACGAGGCGCAGAAGAAATCTCCCCCAGCAACACTAGCCCCGGAAGACCAAAGTGACGACATCAGAAGCTCCACCTCGAATGCCCCTGGTTGCCGAGATGGAAGATGACACAGCCAAAGACCACAAAACCAAACCCCTAGTCTCAGAAATAGGCGTGACGAGCGCTTTTCACCACCTACAAATCCTCCTATCTTCCCAGCCCTCTCCTACACTGCCGTAAAGACTCATGTCCAGAAGAACCTGGCGTGGATGTACCCTCGTGCTACTAAAAGCCTACAAGAAGACCCCCCCCCCGACCAATCCGCCCTTCACCGGATTCAAGCGCGGATAGTCAATTCCAGCGGGGAGGCATGGAACTTTGGACCTGGGAGTGAGGGTGGGATCGAGATCCGGTGTCGGATCGAGGGCGCTGTGGGGTTCGATGTGGGAAAGGCTGAGGCCAGTATTCAGTAATTCTTGGGGCTTTTGGAACGGTGGGGTTAGTGGTGATGCCTATAATGACTTGTTCCTGGAGAACTTGAGGACCCGGCCCGGTCGACGGAACACCGAGGGTGCGGATCCGATCAAGATGTTTGCCGCGCTCAACATCTTGCACGAGGTGTTGTGTGGGCGGGAGGAGGCGGTTATCACTAAGACTTCTACGGAAGTGTTACGGATTGTCGCGGGGGGTGTTAGATAAGCTTATGAACTTAGACGCTCCTAGGAGAGACATTGCCACACCAAGTTTGAAAGGTGTTGGGAAGATTACATCCGCTTCGTCTATGCCTGGATCGAGACTAAGCGGTGTGGAAGATGAACTTGACGAAGAAGAAGAGCGCATACAAACCTCAGCAATGACCCTCTCCCTGTTGAGTGCGATAATCTCCAGCCAAACCACAAAACAGACACCCACGGACGAGCGTCTACAACAAGGAGAGTGAGAGACACGCCCACCCACCACTACTTCCCAAAGTGGAGGACAAACACCGCAGACTGACAATCAATGAAACAACATTTCTTATCCATTTAAATCCGGTTCTCTTTCCCTCAGTTTTCTTCTACATTTGTCTCCTTGTTGATAGGTGAACCTTTCCTATCAGGTTCTTGCATGATATTTCACAACATGTCACGCGGTGGAGATCCCGCCTTCCCACAGGCGTTGGGTTGGTCGGTCACAGCACCCAAATCCCGGGAGTCAACAGTGACACTTCCACCCCTGACTTTGCCCCATCTGATCCGAGCACGGCAGTCATTGGGCGCGCCGATTCAGGGCTCCCCAGACCACTGCAAACGCTGCTTGTGGTGCCGAACTGTTTCATAGTGTTTGCAAGATAAGCGGTACCATGTGATGTTACTAGTAGCTCTGTGCCAAGGGAGTTTTGGCCGGGGTCGGTTGCCTCGAATTGCATTTGACATTTTCTTCCAGTAGTTTACGTACTGATGTTTTCACCCCCAGAAAAAAAAAGAAATATGCATGCACGATTATAGGCCGTTTCTTGCTTTCTTTTCCTGTCCATTCCTATTTCCGCTGTCCTCCATTTCCCCTTTGAGCCGAGTTCGATTCCCCCCCCCCTAGAGTGCTGTAAAAAGGGGGATTTAGCTGGTTGGGAGCAAAGGCCCCTAGGATAACAAGAGAGGAATCGCTTCCTAGGCTTAACCCAACCATTTTCTAGGGATTTAGCATGAGTTTCGTGAAGGTTGATTATTATCGCATACCAGCGGGCGCTCCGAATGGCCCTTCGCTACGCTTCGGGATTCGGAGGCGAGCTTTTTGCGATGCAATAAAGTAGAACATTTAGGACTATCTTTAAATGGCCCTTAACTTCACTTCAGGATTTAAAGGCCTCTCTTTGAAAATTGATTGAAAGATTTATTGAGGGATTAAAAGCAAAACAAAATCAACAAATGAAAAAGAAAAAAAAGACTACTGAACATGCGGAAGAGCTGGACGGAAAACAGGATTCGGGGTGAGATTGTGCTCACCGCGAATATTGTTGCGGAGTAGAATACCCAGGTTTGCAGGATTAGTGACTCGTGATAACGCTACATACAGTTAACCATGTGCGCAGCATTCTTGCTGAAGGAAAATACCAACATGGCTTAGACTCTGCCCCTGGGCCTTATTGATTGTCATCGCAAAGGCAAGACGCAACGGAAACTGTTTTCGCCGTAACCTAACTGGGAGAGCTTCATCTTGACCTGTTGTAAATCCAATACGTGGGATGAATACACGATGGCCAGCCAAGTCTCCCAATCAAATCTTTCCTTCAATCACACGCCTTCCTAGGGCAGTAACAATAAGTTGTGTCCCATTGCATACTCCATCCCTTGGGGCTATGTTCCGAATCACCATAACTAGAGTCCCAATCTTGACCTCAATTTTATGTGGTGGTAGTGAGGGGGAGGTAAGTGTATTGAGAAATTCGATTGGATAAATATTGTTTTCACCATCGTCGGCTGAGTCCTCACTTAGGAATGTTACCACCTCACCGAGAGTCCGCTAAAGCATATGGCTATTAACCATATCAACTGTATCATTATGCGGGGCAAGAATAGCTCTTGCAGCAAAAAACTGGGCTCTATTTTCTGCTATCCCAGGTAAATGGTCATAAACGTGTAAGAGCAGTGCAGTAAGTGTTTGCGGTTGTACCAAATACTTTGTAGGTATCGAAATAAAGGTATCAACTACTGCAAGTCTTGGATCGCCATCGCCCACTTGAAGAATCCAGCTCGCAAAGTTTCTTGCTTTCTCAATAGCTGTAGGGACTAGATTGCTGGTCTGTATACGCAAATTCTCTGTAAGGTGAAGATGGTTGACGCCTTCCCAAAACGAAGTATGTTGAATACTGGCAGCAGCACTCTGCGCCATCGAAGCGCGAGGAATTACTGGAAGTGTTTGCCGGAAGTCGCCAGCAAACAGGATAGTAATACCACCAAAGAACTTATTACTTGAGCGGAAATCTTGAAGCAAGCGGTCAACACACTGAAAGCAATATCGGTGTTGACATGGCGATTCATCCCCGACAATAAGCTTGGCAGAATTAAGAAGGTTCTCTGCCTGTGTGCCCTTGCGTAGGAATGAAATTCCATCAGCAGTAATGGGTACTGGGATTCCAAATTGGAAGTGAGCAGTTCGGCCGTAGGGGAGGAGTTGTGCAGCAATCCCAGTTGATGCAACTGCGATTGCAGTATAGCCCTGGGAACGGATATAGGCTAGAATAAGTCGAATAACAGTTGTCTTGCCGGTACCACTGGGCCTATCTAGGAAAAAAAGTGAAGCAGAATCTGAGGTGACAGAGGCAGTGACTGCAGAATAGGCATTGAGCTGCAATGGACTTAGTTGAGAGACTCGGGCCTCGAATTCCTGCTCACTAAAGCCTATTTCTTGTCCTGGATCTGTATTAAGATCCAGGTTCTGGTGGGGGTTTGGAAGAGAAAAGACGGGGAGGGTATGATCATGAAGGCGGAGCAATTGGTGTAGTAGGCAGAGGCAGTGATCAATAGCCTGAGACTCAGTAGGATTGTGTAGTCCAAGGCGTTGGAGTCGTGTCTGGCAGTCATCAGCAAGATGCTCTGCATACTTATCCCATAAATCACGTGGGTCTGATGGAGTACAATCACAGAGAATTAGCAGGAAAAGAGCTCTGAGCTGTAGGCCTGTCTGGATTCCTGTAGCTTCACGAAGACAGTCATCATACTCCTGATCATCGTTGATTAACCCTCTGGCCTGGCACGCTGCACGAATGGTTGAATACACATTTCCATCAATGGTACAGAGGTCGGTGAAGCAAGTAGGGCCATGAACATGGCAGAGAAGAATGCGGAGGAAAAACCGTTCTCCTGACTGTGGACTTGCTATTGGCATACGCCCAATGGCATAGCCTCTTCTTCGCACTTTCCACTCCTTTGCAGAAGCATCCCAAGTGAAGTAGGTTGGCATATCTATATAGAGTAGATTCTGTGCATTGCCAATTCCATTCACACACATGCTTCAAAAAACTCAGTCAATGTAGTCTTCCACAGTTGGCGGTGTTCAACCTGGACGGAAAGGTCCTCTCCATCATTGAAAGTCACTACTTGCTGGTCAGGTAAGTGAACCTGAAGGCGCAGGATAGGTGGAGGGGATTCGTGTAAGGGGCAGCCCAGGATCCGATATGTGGCCTCTGGTGCTGATACATACCCTGTATCAGTATAGGCAGAAATCTCATCCATATCTCCATAGTTATCTTGGTCAAGATGAAGAAGTACGCGATCGGACCCTTTAAAAACATATTTAAAAAGGTATTTCACAACCCGGAATCAAGAGCAGATTTCCATATTAATATGACAGTCGTACTTGGCACAGAGATATGGATTGTACGGTACAACATTCTGGTTCGTAAAGTAAATGTTTTGCCCACCAATCTGTTTAACAAAAACTCTCGATGGTTCATGACGGTGACGATAGACTGGATAACGTGACTCAATTGCAGTAGTCTCTTCAGCCCAATCTTTTGGAAAGCCTTTCTGACATCGACCATCCACGATACATCGTGAGTTACAGCTGTGAAGCATATTCCGCGTAACAGTCTCATAGAGCTCGTGGCACTCATTCTCCGCTGGAATCTCCGCTGATACAATAGAGTCGTAGTCTATAGGATTGTGTAATTTACTTGCAGAGTCAAAGAAAAGCAGAAGGTGAAGATGGGGCAGTCCTCTTTTTTGAAATTCTGTAACACCAACATGTGCTACAACAGACCCTAGCATACCAACTTTGAGAATATCTCGTAGAATCTCGTTAAGGTAAAGCTTGAAGACTCGACTAATCAAGTCAGGACGGTCTGCTGGACTCTGCCCCGGAAGCAAACTATGACAAATCCTGGGCCAGTTTGGATTACAGGTAATCGTTACAAAGAGATCCAGTTTACCATAGACACAGCAAAGTGTTATGGCATCTTGATAGAGTTGAACCATACTCTGGCTTCCACCTATAAATAACGATGGTAGAATAAACCTTCGGCCAATAGAAACCGCATCTTGTGGGTTATCAGAACCAATACTGTCCATAATTCCTCCGTAAAGGTCTGCACGGAGCTGAGCTTGGTTTAACCGGAGATATCTCAGCCGATTGGCCCCAGTTTGAACCCAGGAGTCTACAATCTATTCATGAAAAAGAGAAGCTCCTCGATGAATAATGTTAAAAGAATTACACCTTGTAAAGAGATGGTAGGCATAGAATTCCTTTTGCATAACGCGCTCTCGAGATCTGGTTATCATAGTGCGAGGAATTGATGGGTGCCATCCTTGATCCCCCGCTGGAAAGAACAAAACAAATCGAAGAGGCATATTTGCAGGATGCATCTCATCAAACCTCGAAAGCTGACCTCCAGTATGTCCTTGAGCAATAAATTCACGACCACGAGTAATTCCTCCTCATCCTCATGCAAAATAACCGCTGCTACCTCATTCGGAGAGGTGTGTAGGTTGTATCACCGAGGGTCCTGGGTACTTTGTTGAAGACAGATTGCCAGGTATCCAGCATGACGGACATCACGAAGACACTCAAACGCAAACTGCCACTGCTGTGCATAGGGGTTGACAGTAAGAAGCTCCTCTTGAAGCTCCCGGATAACCTCCGGGCTTAAAGAAGTACTGCGAAGCCGGGCCTGCACTTGGGCCTCTGGGGTCCCAAGCATGTAAATTTGATCATAGCGAGGAGAGTTACTTGTAGTAAGTGACCCCATTAAATGAGCAAGCTGACCCTGAATCCGGAATACATAAGGGCCTGGCCGTTGCATAACATTCAGATCAAATGAAACACCAAGAGATAGGAAGGAAAATGTGTTATTTTATTCACGGATATTCTTCAGGAAGGAGGCAGATTGGGCATGCTCTCGATTGAAAAATCCCTGCCAAGTTACTGACAGAGTAGCAAAGGCAGGGAGAGAAACCTTTCCGTCAAGACAGCATGCTGAAAACCTGGGAGATGCAGCCGAGGATGAGGTAAGTTGCTCCTCCAAAAAATGCACTGGCTGACACTGCGGGCATGGAATTGAGAGACTTGAGACAGCAAAACGAATTGATCTCCCTGTGGCTGTAATCCACCGAAATGTCCTCCCTAATGGAAGATTGGTGGCCTCAGCACGGCGAATGGCTGTGGCATTGGTGGGGATATATGGACTGCAGTGGCCACCTAGAACAGTATTGACGGAAGCTGGTACAGTGATTTGGTGGGGGGTGGGAGCCACCTCAATGGTAGAGTTGTGGCGGCGCTCATGATATCTGGCTGATAAACGGGAACGACATTGACCACATGTCCTAAGTCGATTGCCCTGCCTGTTGGTACCGAAAGATGATGACGGCCGTTGTCGACGACATATACTGCAAGTAAAGTTTTGGTTGCGATCGGACATAGCTAGAGATCAGAGCCTGAATCCTCTCTCAAGTGTCTAAAGCCGTACATGATGCTCTTGGAAAAAGAGGAAAAAGAGGGCTGACAGTCACGTGAGCGTAAAATTTTTGTCATCATGTGACCTTAGTGGAATTATGTATAGAGAGATGCTCATATGCCACCTATAATATCTGTTCCAGTACTATTTGTTGCTTTTTGAAGGCTTTCCCGAGACAAGGAATATTCAAGGCGGGTATACCCACCTAGGAGAGAAGAAAAATACGGGACTTCGGGTATCTTGACTACACTCCTTACAGTACAGAGCATATCTGGGCCTAGCAATCCTTGCGCAGAACCAGCTAAATCCCCCTAAAGAAGGCACACTATCCCTTGCCTCATGGCCCCATGGAAGCTATCCCAAAGGAGGTGCCAATTCTTGGGTCGGAGACGCGTGTAGGGGGGATTTAGCAGGTTGGGCACCTTGGTTGATACCGTAGGTCAGGAAACCCTCACTAAAGTCTAGTGAAGATACCCGCGCACTTTTGCTGCTTGTCTAGGCAGGTATATGCCCACCTAGACCATGTGTTGTCTACGAATACTTCTTGGAAAACAACAAATAATCCTGTGATAGACATCTGAAATGGAATATAAGGCCAAGAACCTAGACTATTTGTTGAGGTAGGGTTGGCAAAAGGTATGCGGTATTGACCTTGCTAGATGACTAATCTGGGTAGCTGGTATCTACTCGGCAGCAAGTTATGATATTTGATAACAAGTCTGGTTCTGGGGCGGGTTCGTCGGGCATCATTCCTGGGTTGAAAACACAGTGCTAGTTCGCCAAGTAGTGATGGACACGATCATGCTCGATGATAAAATTTGGGTTATGCTCGATCATAAATAGTATTGAAGCACACCAAAACTTTATGATCGAGCATGATCGTATCCATAACTATCACCAAGGGGAAAATCGGTATTTGGAGTCGTGCTAAGCATAATAATTTGAGAAGGGAGAAGGGTTACTACCTATGCGGCGCAGGCTCCACAAAATACCTCTAAGTTGGAGTTAGGGTAGTAGGGGAGGTCGATCACAAAGTAATGTGTTCTTCATCAAAGGAGTAAATCATTACTTTCCCGTTCGGGTTTAGGGGGGGAGTGTGCTGGATGGTTGGGGGGTTTCATAGTGTATAACCAACTAAATCACGAAACCAGACATCTATCTTGGCCTTGAGCACGTTTATTTCATATCAACCGGCTAGGCGTACTGTATGTAACTTAAGTTGTGCTAATGGAGACTTTGCCAAAAGACTCTGGATGTGAGGCAATTGCGGCTCTGGAACAACCAAATCTCTAGAATTTGACTCTGGATGCGAAATCGCAAAGTCCCTAATTGATGAAGCAATCAGTCTACATGCCTTGCATTCCAATAGCGGGAATACCTGTAAGCTAGATTAGGCTAGGGTTGAGGGTTTAGTGCTTGATCCCCTGTTGCCACGCAAGGCTTGTCTACCGGTACTCGTATGTTTGCTTTTCTCTGTTGCCTTCTTGCATCCGATCCACCAGATCCTCGACTTCCGTGTCAATACAAAGCATTCCATTCTCTTCTTTTTTTCTTCCGTAAATGCATGTCTTCCTTTATCCCCCATCCCCAGTTAGAACGACATCATTAACAGACCCAGATAGCCAAACATGTGGGCTGCTGATCGTTCCGCATGGCGCAATACTTTCATTTACGCTTCCAACGATCGTGATACCGTGCTCGGAGGCCTCTGTGCCACACCAGGTATTACAAACCGCAATCTCTATGCCATGCTGGAGATTATCTGTTTGTTTGGCAACACTTTCGAGCTACACGACGAGGACGGACAGTTGGTTGAAAAGGATGAGGCACAGCTTCAACCGGGCAATTACCATATTGTCACTCAGGGTGGCTTTCTTCTGTGCTTTCCATCTTTAGCCGCTACTCACTGTGAATAGGTACCATTACTCTCACTAACGAGGTACCGCTGCCTCGTATGGTTTCGTTGCTGTCCGGAACCCGTGTTACCGGGTTCCGTGATGAAGTACGTGCGCGAGACAGTCGCTGCATTTTAAGCGGTTACCGACCATCGCCAGGCAACTGGATAGCCATGCAAGCCGCTCACATCTTTCCCCTGGCATACGAGGGGTACTGGAACGATCACAACTACGACCGTTGGATTACCATTCCGCCCGCCAATGAGTCCCACGGATTGATCAACTCTGTACAGAATGGGATCTTGCTCAAGACTGATATGCATCATTTTTTTGATTCCTATGATTTGACAATTAATCCCGATGTATGGATGGGTAGATCTTCAAGTCTTCGCGGCTAATGGTTGTGTAGGATAACTACAAGATCGTCTCCTTCGCAGTGGAGTCCCTTCAATTAAACCTCCCTCACCGACTTGATCAGACGTTCCTCGATAATCCACGCCGACCGGTCGATCAGCTTCTCCGCTGGCATTTTCGCCAGGCAGTGCTCACGAATATGAAGGGAGTTGGGGAGCCTTGTTTTGAGCACGATTTCCCGCCTGGTACAGACATGGTGGGTGAGATCATGAGCGGTCCAAAGGCTGGAGAGAGGATGGAGTTCGAGCTGTTTAGCCGCTTTAATGCAGCGGGGGGTTCACACCTGGTGAAGTCTACCTAGAGCACTATTAGCACAATATTCAATAAAACTGGGTTTACCAGCGGTGTTCGCTCATAAATTCACCAGAAACCAAGAGAGCCCAGGGGTGTGATGTTAAACAAGACGTGGAACCAAAACACTTCGTTCCAAGTACTACCATGGGCGGACCCTCCTCGCAGCCCTCCTTCCAAACATAAATCCATAAATTACTACCACCGGGCTCACGGGTGTTCACTGCGACTACCATCCCGGATGAATGCATCTTCCCATCGTGTTCCACACCGTAAAACCTTGAATAATTGGATGGTGTGCTGTGTCGTTTGGCTTTCCTCTCCCAGCAAGGTCAAGAAACTTTTGTTCTTTTTCCGGTCTCGGAGGGATGAAAAGGGCTGTGTTTTTGCTGTGTTTTCTCCCCATTCCCAGAGAAGGAAATTCCGGGACGGTGACTACATGTATGGTGCCGGCACCTTAGAATCGACACTCAGTGCCATCCGGGTCCAGGCACTAGTCCTAATGTAGTATCTGACAATACTGCTTTAGGCAATGTGTTTGTGTATTACTCAGCAAAAACCTGCTTTTCACACACAAGTGCCAACCTCCTCGCTCCACCCAAATTTTGCCTCAGCTTTAACAGCTGTTATAGAAAGAAGCATACCCCTTGAGTGAAATCCGCTCTGTAAATGTATTCTTTATATGTTTTTTGGAGGATTATACAGAAGGAATAAGTAAAATAATGATATGTGACGTTGTTGTTGCCCGCCGAAAGTTGGGAAAGTTCGGTTGTCGTGAGGGTTGATTCTAAGGTGCCGGCACCATACTCGTGTACAACGCATAATTATTCAAGCTTACGGTAGTCCACCAAACCCTTTGAGATAAGAAAACGCTGCTATCGCGTTTAAACAAGATGGATTGTAGAAGGTGTTTTGAGCATTTGAAACCGAACTGTAGAGACAATGAACAGCGGACACATTAGGTCTTATATTGCAAAGAGCAATACCCGAGTAATATTATGCACATATACCAGTAGCCCCACAGGGAGGAGACTGGTAGGATGGGAAAATTGGCGGGGTTGGGATTTGCCAACTAGGGTTTAGGTGATGTTATAACTGTCGCTCCTAATAGAAGCTGATGTGTTCTGAGGTGTGTCGCTGTTGAGATGTGAAGAGATTTATAGTACTTACTCTTTCGGCCATAGGGGAGCGAGTAGTGGCAGTGGGTGGCGATGGGATCGAATCATCTTTTGTTGGGGGAGCAGGTGGTTTTCTGATATGATGCAGAAGAGTAGATGCCAGCTAATAATTTCCTCTCTATGGAAGGCTTGGCCAGGACCAGGGCGATGTGTCAGCTCTAGGTAAACTCACGGAGGGGGCATGTCGGGAATACAGCAACATAGGAGAAGTATGCTTCAGTACTCATGGTTCCGCGGGGAGACTTGTCTGCATGAATTGTGGTTACGTCATTAATGATTCTGTTATTGTTTGCAAAATTTCTTTTGGAGAGACTAGTAATGGGGCTGCTAGAATTCGGGGGAGGTATGTTGCTGAAGGGCAGACTCATGCTGGAGTGGGTCCGGGAAGGTTTGGGAGTTCAAATAGCCTTCAGAGTCATGAACGAATAATTTGGGATTGTGGGCTTGTCCGATTTTTTTATTCTGCTAGCACCATATGTTGCTCTTAATATTGTTTTTTCCTTCTGGGCTGATGTGAGCTTCTAGGGTATTGTAAAATTGTTCAACTCACCTGTGCTGTCAATTGCCTTGAACTTTTTACAGATTATGCCCAATGATAGTTTACTTTATCCATTACACATGACTTCAACAGAGGTTGCAAAACACAATTCATCGTCGCCAGTTGTCTATACATTGTCTGTCATCACAAAAAGAGTTTCCACATGCTCATCGACTTCACAGGAATACTAAATACAATTTTTTGGCTCGAATTCGATGGGCTTCTTTCTGCAAACAGCGCTCCTGGTGAATCTCTTCTCCCCTGGCCACACCTACCTTCTACTACTAGTAGTTCAAATCCTCGAAGTCCGGTTACCACATAGATCCTACAGTCTACGTCAGCCGCCTTGCAAAGCACCTGGACTTCCCCAGTGAACTGACTAAGATGGCTAACGACACCCTTTGTATCATTCAATGTATCATACAATGCAGTAGATGGAAAGGACAGAGGACTCGGCAGAAGCTGAGAAGTTGGAGGGTCCTCATGCTGGTCAACCCCTACAAATATTCCCCAACTTGAGTTTCGTGGAGGAGAAGACTATTTTTCCGAGTGCAACGTGGTGTAGAACCAACTACACCACGAAACCAGTCTGCAAATAATTGTCTCTTTACGCAATTGAACCGGAAGAATTTGAAGATCCCGACTGAGAATTATTACCATTACGTGTACCTACGATTTAAATGGAGGGGGTTGTACCATGGAAGGGTTTACTTCTCCCCTATTTTTCACTGCTCACCCCTTCCGCTACCAACGGTAAAATTCTCTGTCCGAACTAGAAATTAATAAAGATGTCTCTTTGGCGTAAGTATGCTCCCGATTTCATCCTTGGTTGATTACTGGTTGACAGATTGATTTCCTTTAAATATTGCAAGAACCAATTCAGGCCCTGTAGCTACAGTGGCCTGTATGATTGTCTCTTCTGCGTTCATGTTTGCCATGAACTGGACCATACGAAAGAAGGTTGGACAACTCCGTCAAGACATTACATGGGTCAGGGGTGATATCAACAATGTCAAGAATAATATCGATTGTGTCGAGGACCCTGTATAGAAATTGAGGAATACCTATTCCGACCTTATGGCCGAGATAATGGGAGCGCAATGTCTGGCCGCCGATCCTTGCCCCCACACCCGCACATACCTCACGAGGCCTTACAGCACTCCTCCTGGCTATGAGGACCTTAAAATCTGAGGTAAGGAGACAGGCTGAGTAATCTATACTCATTACTGGAGCTAATTTAGTTTGCAAGCACGTTTAAGGATGGGTGAAAAAAAAAAGTGAAAAAAAAGAAGTCTCTAGAACAGTGCTTTTATATTTGTTAAGTTATTAATAGAGTGAATTAGAGCCTTTGATATTAAGTCTTTTGCCCAACCTGTGTGAGGATGGCAAACAGAGACAAATCATGCGTGTCTTGCTATTATCCGAGGTTTTTGCTGTACTAGACACCATGTTGAACTTGAAAGAATCATCTGCCCCTCCTGAATCCAGTGTTCATACAGTAAACGGCCAGGCCAGCCCGCCGATAGCATATCGATACACACACTCCTGCCAGGCGGGGTCCAAGTGAGCATGATCTGGGCTTCGTAAGCCCTACATTCCTAAATTCTGCTGGTCTTGGGGGTACCTAGTGGTGCCCAGGCCGGCAGGCTTTTCGGGCTTGCCATGTGATTAGTAAAAGTTTGCCAATGAGTACCAGATGGCTGAAGATAGGTGATGGTGATCGTGCGATGATTGAAAGGGGTTAGGAAAGGGTTTGCGCCGGGAGAAGGTTTTTGCTGCGGAGGAGGGTAACGGTGCTGTAATATACTTGTATTTTCGAGACTGTTCTGGGGATTTCGCCCCCCCAGCTATCCTTCTTCTATCCTTGACTTTCTTCACACTCCACCTCCGAATATTCGTATGGCTTCACCCATGATATCCCAAGCAACATGGTTGCTCTCTCCAGTTCTTGGCTAGAGTAATTGAGCTCCCGTAACTTACCGCCAACCCTCAGAATAACCGTCCTGCCAACTTTAACCACAGTTGCACCAGACCCGCTCGGCCAATCGATCCTCTGGTGGCTTTCTCGCGCACTCCCGGCACTGCTGCCGTCACCCGAGGGTGGAAGATCCGCTGCGGTGTCAGTCGTAACTCACATGCTTACCCTCCTTGCGAACCTCAAATGCGAAGCGCGAACGGAGACAAACACTGAGCGGACCGGGCCACAGTTAGTCGCTCCTGCAGAGGTTAGAGTAATAATATGTCAACTAGACCTGGTCGTGCCGGGAGGGATATAGCTGTCCTTGGCCTACGGTCTTGGGATCCCAATCAAACGACTGACTAGCATATGTGCATTGGCCCTGCTTGCGATTGGACGGCAGAGGGGGGGGAGGTACGGAAAAGGAAGGATGTGGAGTTATTGGGACTTGTCGTTGGGAGATTGCTGGAGTCACCCGGGGGAGAGGATGTCGCGGGCAAGGGAGATTTGGTACTGAGGGCGGGCGAGTGGGTTTTGATGGACGTGATCGTCGGGCGTGCTGAATTGGCTTCCAATCCCGAGGAGAGGGATGCCGGGGAAGGGCAGGAGAAGTCTCGGATCTTGATTGACGGGCTCTTCATAATAAAGTCTTCACAGATAATTTGTCACCTTTTCTAGAACTCGAACACCACAATTTCTCCCGCTCCTCTTCCAACTACTAACTCCCCAAACACCCCATTCTTCAGTACCCCGCTCGCGAGGACGCTCTTCCTCATTCTGTTCAGACGTCCCAACGCTCTCCGCCATATCATTGACCTGTTCTTGTCGACTGACGCTCCCGTGGATCCTTCGCCCTCGATACCTCCAAATTTGTCCATTGAGGCGCTGGGTAAGAAGTCCAAGATTGTATGCACTGTACGCAGCTTGGCGAATGCGGTGGACCACTTTTGTAAAGTCTGCGCTGAACTCTTGGAGCTTTTGCATTCGGTGGATGTGCTGATTCTGTGGGCGGCGGGTTTCGTAATAGTGGATATTCTAGGGAGGACAGGGAGGGTGATTGAGGAGATGGTAGAGATGGTGCTGATCGTACCATCGATATCAAGGTTGGATTTGCGTGTTTCGGCGTGGTTGAAGGAGGAGGTGAGTGTTCTCAAAAAGGTAGACGAGGCGCAGAAGAAATCTCCCCCAGCACCACTAGCCCCGGAAGACCAAAGCGATGACATCAGAAGCCCCACCTCGAAAGCCCCTGGTTGCCGAGATGGAAGATGACACAGCCAAAGAGCACAACACCAAACCCCTAGTCTCAGAAATAGGCGTGACGAGCCCTTTTCACCACCTACAAATCCTCCTATCTTCCCAGCCCTCTCCTACACTGCCGTAAAGACTCATGTCCCCAATAGCACTCTCCCTCTGGGCGCTAACAAACTTTGCAAAGTCGACCGGGAGAAGAACCTGGCGCGGATGTACCCTCGTCCTACTAAAAGCCTACAGGAAGACCCCCCCCCTCCCCGACCAATCCGCCCTTCACCGGATTCAAGCGCGGATAGTCAATTCCAGCGGGGAGGCATGGGACTTTGGACCTGGGAGTGAGGTTGGGATCGAGATCCGGTGTCGGATTGAGGGCGCTATGGGGTTCGATGTGGGAAAGGCTGAGGCCAGTATTCAGTAATTCTTGGGGCTTTTGGAACGGTGGGGTTAGTGGTGATGTCGATAATGACTTGTTCCTGGAGAACTTGAGGACCTGGCTCAGTCGACGGAACACCGAGGGTAAGGATCCGGTCAAGATGTTTGCTGTGCTCAACATCTTGCACAGGGTGTTGTGTGGGCGGGAGGAGGCAGTTATTACTAAGAATCCTACGGAAGTGTTACGGATTGTTGCGGGGCGTGTTAGATAAGCATATGAATTATTTCGACGGCTTAGACGCTCTGAGGAGAGACATTGCCACACCAAGTTTGAAAGGTGTTGGGAAGATTACCTCCGATTCGTCTATGCCCGGCTCAAGACTAAGCGGTGTGGAAGATGAGCTTGACGAAGAAGCAGAGCGCATCCAAACCTTAGCAATGACCCTCTCCCTGTTGAGTGCCATAATCTCCTGCCCAACCACAAAACTAACACCCACGGACGAGCATCTACAACAAGGAGAGTGAGAGACACGCCCACCCACCACTACTTCCCAAGGTGGAGGACAAACACCGCAGACTGATAATCAATGAAACATCATTTCTTATCCATTTAAATCCGGTTCTCTTTCCCTCAGTTTTCTTCTACATTTGTCTCCTTGTTATTAGGTGAACCTTTCCTATCAGGTTCTTGCATGCTATTTCACAACATGTCACGCGGTGGAGATCCCGCCTTTCCACAGGCGTTGGGTTGGCCGGTCACAGCACCCAAATCCCGGGAGTCAATAGTGACATGTCCAGCCCTGTCTTTGCCCCATCTAATCTGAGCATAGCAGTCATTGGGCGCGCCGCTTTCGGGCTCCCCAGACCACTGCAAACGCTGCTTGTGGTACCGAACTGTTCCATAGTGTTTGCAAGATACGCGGTACCATCTGATGTTACTAGTAGTTCTGTGCTAAGGGAGTTTTGGCCGGGGTCAATTACCTCGAATTGCGTTTGACATTTTCTTCCAGTAGTTTACGTACTGTTGTTTTCACCCCTAGAAAAAAAAAGAAATATGCATGCACGATTATATGCCGTTTCTTGCTTTCTTTTCCTGTCCATTCCGATTTCCGCTGTCCTCAATTTCCCCTTTGAGCCGAGTTCGATCCCCCTCCCCCCCACGAGAGCGCTGTAAAAAGAGGGATTCAGCTGGTTGGGAGCAAAGGCCCCTAGGATAACAAGAGAGGAATCGCCCTAGGCTTAGCCCAACCATTTTCTAGGGATTTAGCATGAGTTTCGTGAAGGTTGATTATTATCTCATATCTCCCGATCACACGACTAATCCCAAATAGTCTCCTGACAATGCCTTTGATTCGTCCTTCCTACCCTCTTGCAGCATCAAATCTTTGTGCTCTTTTCTCGAATCCATCTTGGCAAATAGCCCAAGTCTGTTATTTCATATTCCACCTATAATATCTGTTCCAGTACTATTTGTTGCTTTTTGAAGGCTTTCCCGGGACAAGGAATATTCTAGGCGGGTATAACCACCTAGGAGAGAAGAAAAATACGGTACTCGTACTTGGGGTATCTTGACTAAACCCCTTACAGAGCGTGTATGGGCCTAGCAATCC